ATTTCTTCTCACTATTTTGTTAAAAACGGCTTGATTTGAACCAATTTAAAAAAAAGGCTAACTATATTTTAGCCAGAAAAATATTGCCTAAATAAGCCTCGAGATTTCGCTAATGGATGTTTATAACTTTGTGCCATCTATGAGCAAAATTATCAGGCTTTGGAATGCAAATTATGACGTGGAGGAGTTAAAAAAATAAAATTCATTATATAACTTTTATATAGTACACACACAAAGAACAATAATTAAACTTCAATCTTTTTTTAGAAGCTTTTTGAGGAGATAAAATATTTTTAAAATGTAGTTTAATAATAATATTTTATATAGTTCACGGAATGTATGATTCTTCTATTTCTTTTCAATAATTTTTAAAAACCATTTTATTAATGTTAAAAATAAATATATATTTTATTATTAGATATATTTTTTATACCATAAAAATCAATTAATTAAAGTCAAAGTTTTTTTTTTGAGGGCAAATTTTTTTTTCTCATTCATATTCTACTAAAGAAGTGTTAGTTAGATAATTGAATATTAATAATTTATTGAGTGTTCCGATTTTACGAATCGAATTCTTTATATAATTCGATAATTATCAAATATTATTATTCGAATATTTTTTATTATTCGTAATTCGAATAATTGAAAAAAATTCCATATAGCGAATATTCGTTTAGGAGTACTAGTAATTACAGAATATAATTAGAAAGAAATAGTTAAGTATCTCATGGCTAAGTATTCCCTTTTGACAATTGTGATCACTAAGTGATCTGAAAAATCGGAATGTGTTGGCCTGAGTTCCCTGCGGCCTGCACAATCCGTTGCGACTCGAATTTAAAAAAAGAAGCGTTAGAGGGAAAAATCGCAAAATCAAAATATTTTTTATTCTATATTTTAATGGCTAATGTACATTTAATATAAATATTCAGCCAATAACTTTCGATAATTTAAATGATGTTCATTGTTTAATCTATTTTACTCTCTTTAACACAAAATATATTATAAAAATAAACAACGGCGTCTCGCTTTTTTACAACTTGAGAGGAGGTTGGAGTCCATTAAAAAAGTTCTAACATTAGCAAAATAAAGGTAATTCAAAAATTTGCCCAATAAAAGACTATATCTAAATGTTCCAAAGTTTTTGAGGTGCTTGAGCTCCTATGCGCACCTCCCACTACCCCTAACGAGGCACCCGAAATGAATATTAAATATTTTGCCACCTAAAATTTTTTTATATTTATTTTATAATTATGAAGAATAAATTAATGTTATATTTTTCGGGCTATTTTTAGGATTGGGCAGGCCCTGCAGGATTCTAATGTGCACCTTATTTTTTTGCCAGAGGTGTTGATTGGTAGTTATATACACGCTGAGAACGCTTTTGCCAGGTTTTCCTTAATGAGGCCAATTGTTTATATTTCTCTTTCTTTCTGCTGATACTTTACTCCTAACTAAGACAAAACACGATATTGCTTGGGATCGATTAATTAACAGGAAATCAATAAATTCATCTTTATTTTTTTTATTGTGAGAATGAGTTAGTATAAAAATAAGTTTTTATGACTCATTAATTTGCCTTTTTTTTTGAGTAAAAAAAATATTTTAACCAATTTATTTACGATCCAACTATTTGTGGTTAGTTAAGGTTTCTCTATGCCAAGTTGACATCGATTCTTTTTTTAGATTATATTAAATTTGATGCATGGTCAGCACATCAAGATGTAATTTTGAGAATAATCAAGTCTTAAAGGAGCCTTATGTTCTTTAAACATTCTTGTATCCTTCTACATTCCTTCCTATATATGTTTAAAACATTGTTCCTGATGGTTGTCATGTTTATATAAATTTTATCATTTATTTTCCGAAGAATTTAAAAAAAATTGATGACAATTTATTTACATAATTTAAAATTTTTTTAAAATAATCTTTATATCAAACTTTAAAATTAAGTCCAAGTTACATTCTCAAGAGTTCACTTAACTTTTTTAAATTAAATTTTATTAATTAATAAAAATTTGACAAATTCGTAATAATAAGATAAAAATCCTCATTCCAATGATAATTTTAAAAATTTTCTTAACTACTTCCTTAACATTGTCGGGAATTCTGTCTGGGAAACATTAAATATAAAGATTAAATCAAATACCGGACATACAGCTTTTGAACTGACACCCTATTTTTGCTTATTTTAAACATTTAATTTTATTTTTAGTATTTTTAGTATTTTTTTTCTCTTTTTTTATGTTTTGTTTTTTTTTTTGGTTTAATTTCTTATTTTCTCTAGGACACGGCCTTACAACTTAACTTAAAAAACATTTTGATTTATACATTTTTTAAAATCGGTGCATAAACAAAATTTTTTTATAATCACAAAGATGTATACTATTCAAAATCTACAACATGCCACCCTCTCAAAAAACTAAAAAAAAGACCATTTTATACAATATTATACTCAGCTAACTTTTTTTAAACCAAATAAAAATCTCTGTAATTAAAATTATAACTTTAAATATTAAAAATTATAACTTTAAATTTTATAAAACATGTCCACCCTTTTTAAAACCAAAAAGAGAAGAAAAATAAGTATCCTCAAATATATGTGTATATGCAGCAAAAATATATGCAAATCATGCTTTAGTTAAATGTTCATGGAAGTTTGAGATCTATTGGCAAATATTCCCTGAAATTTGATTGTGGTCCATTTATTATCTATAGAGTTCTCCAAACATAATTTGCATCCTGTTCTAATATATCTGGTTTCTCGATAATATATTCATCAATATACTATTATATATGGCAGACTGTATAATCTTTTCCAAATTATTATCATTGCCATCCTTTATATTGATATTTAATGGAGTATTATCGGATGAAAAGCAGTTGCTGATCATTATTTGCTAAATTTTTAACCATCATATAGATTGAAATATCCCTATAGTGTAGTAAGGTGGAAAAAGAAAGGAAATTCCTGGAAAGCATTTACATTTCAAGGCTAAATTTTAAGTTTCATGAAAATGACACCCAATTGTTTTCAGCCAGCCATCTAAACTTATCGCTCTTTTAGAAATGTTTAAATTTTTACTACCTAAAAAATATTTTCTTCTATTGAAGTTTTTTTTCATGTGCATAATTATTTTGTCAATTAGATATTATAGAGATTCTAAGGAGAGGTAAAAAAAAAATCAAAATTTGTTGAAAAAAGAGCTGGAATAAACAAGTAGAAGATAATACATATTATCAAGAAATTTTTTTTGTCATTTTTGTGAAATCTCCATAAAAAATATTTGTAAATAATAACATTTCGTTTTCACATCATAATATTCGCCAAAATTATTTTCAATTTTATAATGTATATAAAGAGCCATGGGACATTTCGAAGTAATTATATACCAAATGTAAACAGGTGTTTTTTGTTAAATATATTTTTGAACGTTAACAAGGTAGGAATATTTTGAGAAAAAAAGAGATATAAATTATATTCGAAGCAAAATATAATGAAAAGTCGACGTTAGAAAGAACAGCAGTTCTAGGGTTAAATATAGAGCCGTAAAAAACGTAACAACTTTATATTTAGCATTAAAAAGTACTTTTACGATACTTTTAAAAAGTAATCCTTTACCCAAAATATTACTCGCTACTTTAAAATTGATTGCATATCCCCCCCCCCCTTTTTATCAATTACAAATGATAATATATATTTACTAATTAACTTCGACTTTATTTGAATTTGAATATGTATTTATGCTTTCGTATTTCTGAAAGTGTGGGTTGATTATTGTATTTTTGATTTTCTTTTGAAACTTTCGATGAGCGCCTATTTAAAAATTTTTTTTTAAAATATTAAACCTAAGTAAACTTAATATAAAATATTATTTGAAATTTAATAATAATAAAATATAAACTAGAGTAATTCCTAATTCATTACTTGTCATCCATTAGTGCCTCTTCACTAGCTTTTAAAAGTAACGCCTCGTTACTTATTTAACATTAATGTCTCGCTACTTTGCATTTTTTTTGGAAAAAGTTACGGTTACTTTGAACGCGTGAGTTTATGCCATTAATAAAATTGATCAGAAGAGAGTTGGGGTATATTTATGTTAGAAGTTGTGAGAGAATAAAATGGACCCTTTTAAATTAAATAAAATAATTGCTTATAAATCATTTTTTTGCAGGCTAGCCCTAGATTTTTAGATTTCTTTATTAAGGCCAAGCTGAAGTTCTTTTGAAAAAAAATGTTTTAAATTTCCTTTATAAAAGCATGTTTTGAAAATCAGTAAAATAATTTTATTAATGATTTCTCATGTTAAATAAACCCCCTAAAATTTACCGAAGTAATAATTAAATTACACATATCATAATTATTAATTTTTTTTCTTTTATACCATATCATTTTTAACAGTAGTGGAATTAGCCATTTTGTATTATATATTTGTAAATTTAATCTACCAAAATTTAACAGATGCATGCATGCAAGTACCAAATGATTTTTTGTGTTAATCCTATTTCAATTTTTTTTAAAAAAGTTTTGAGATTCGCTAATTATATATATATATATATAATCATTTAATCAGGGATTAAACATTTATAATTTTCCTTATTTAACTAATATTTAAGGAAAATCAAGTAAAGAAATTTATTTTTAAAATAGTTACTAAACATTTTTCCATTAAAGCAAAGGTCAAAAACAGAATGAAATCGGACAGAAATAAGAAACCGGAAGGAACTAAAGACCACTTTTAAAAACCGGTCCATTTAGCATTTGGTCAGTACCTGATTTTTGACTTTCACTAGATTTTAGAAATTAAAGGGTCGAAAAAGATAGAACTATATGATGTAATATAGAATATTACATCATATTAATATTAATCAGAAATAAATAAAAAAAATTTATATACCATATATATATATATATTAAATCGGGTTTTGTGGCCAATTTTTTAGAAAGATGAATATCATCAGGCAAAATTTACAATCTCTTCTAATATTTTATACTTATAAAGGATAAGGCCGGTGAGCATTCCGAAAAATGTATCGTTAAAAACAAGCTGAGCGAAAGTTACGGCAGAGATTCTTCGTTTTTGACGTGGGAATATCACACTATTACACTGGATAAAGTAAATAGATGTTTTATATATTTCAAAATAAAAAATTTAATTGAGAAGTAGGCAAGGAAATCGCGGATATGGGAAGAATGGTTAGATTAAACGGAAAGATGTAAGGCAAGCCATGAAAAGATGATATAGGATAGATAGAAAAATAGGAGACTAAATTTTTTTTATTATTAAAGAAGGTTTTTAATTAAGTAATTTTTAAGCTCTTTGTTTATTACGATTCAAACACTAAAATTAATTATTATTATTTTTTCAAATATAAAAAAAAGCACGGTAAAGGTTTGGGATTCAGCATAAGCGGAGGAACCGACAACAACACTTCTATCCAATTTCCGGCTGGACATAACTTAGAAATTGGCTCCTCTATTGTTCTTACCAAATTGATTCCAGGTGGTACTGCTTTGAAAGATGGTAGACTAAAGTATATAAGAAATATATACTTCATGATTTTATACCATTCTTTAATTTGTAAACGAAGGATATGATAAGTCTTAAAACAAATCACGAGAAATTTTCCACCTATTTATTTATCACCTTTTCTCTGATGATATGAATTAAAGGTGCAAGTTCAATATTTGTCATCATATTGATGCGAGTTATTGTTCAGTTCACTCTTTAAATTTTATAAATATATTTTACTAGCTTCTACATTATAAATATAAAAAAAATTCTTAATTTTATGTGTGATTTTTACGTAACAATAATATCTATTTATTTCTTTTCTTATAAGGATGGATGACATTATACTCAAAGTCAACCAAATGGACCTGACTAATGTTACCCATGATGAAGCTGTCGAAATCCTCAAGAAATCCATCAATATCGTTACCTTGGTAATCTATAATTTTGCCGTCTAATTTTAGCAAAGATTCATATTAATCTTAAATTTATTTTGAAAAGTCGTTTTTAATAGTTAAAATATAATTGTTTAAGTTATTTATTAATTTTTATAATCCGAGAGTGCACTATATAAAAGTTCGAACCTTTACACGAATATTCTTTAGTAAACGGCCTATACTAAAAAAAAGATTTTTTAGTTTTCATAATGTCCCCGTAGAAAATATCAGGGGACAAAATATTGATGAAGAAATGTCCTACGGACAATATATCTTAGTTGAAAGAGCCTTGTAGACATAATGTCATAGAATAATAAAAAATTAGATGCTTTTTAACCTTTAATACTATCACGGCAAATTTTTTAAAAAATTTATCGTGTCTCCCCGTTGTTTTACTATTTGCTCTTTTCTCCCCTATTTTACCTAGATATCCCTTAATTATAGTTTCCTGGGAAATTTATAACCCTAGTTTTATATACCCAGGCCACTCATGAAATCCATATATATTATTAACTATTGAATCAAACTAAATTAAATTTGTAATATATTTTAAAATATATTTAAGCTACTAGTTTATTTTGTCTTTACTATAATAAACTAATCATACCCTTTATATTGGTTCCATATTATCAATGTAACATCCTTAAAAATTTTGTATACACTAACGGTTTCTTAAGCCCGTATAAAAGTTTAAGAAAAATTAGAAACTTAACAGAAACATAAAAATCTATATTTAATATGTTTTTGGCATTATATAATAAAAAGTAAAAATCTTCAAAATATGTTTTTTAAAACAACATTTTAATTTTCAAAAAAATGCATATAATATATTCTCAAAAAATATTATAAAAAAAATTGGGAGGAACTTTAACTAGAAGGCTTTTGGGTTACGAAATATAATGAAAGGGACATGTGACTTTCAATAAAATTCGTTATTTAATATGCCTGGACCTATATGATAATATCGAATCGAAGATCGAACTGTAATTATTAATCTTCTAATACTTGGGGATACCCTTAAAATTGCAATCTTACATCACTCTATTGAAAAAAATTATAATACTCTTGTTAAAATTGGAATATGTAGCTTTTTATTGATAGTTATCTTTTTCTATGTTAATTAGATTCAGATAGGACATTATGTGATTTAAAAAGACAATATATCTTGGATAAGGGCAGTTATCCATCGTTTCGTTTCTATTCTAACAATAAAAATAATATTTATAACTTTTTTTTCATGGTTTTAAATATATTATGAATCTAAAAAAAATAATATTTACTAGCATATCAAACGTAAGAAACTTGTTCAAGACCATATGATCATAACTTTGAAGAAGGGGGACCTAGGTATGCTTCAATAAATTTAACACGCTTAATATTATTTACCCATAAGTGAATTGCTAATAAGGAATTAAAAGATAAAGGTGAGTTCTATAAATTTGCATCTAGATACAAAAACATTTTATATGTATCTTATCTGGATATAATTTTAGCGCTATCTATTTATAAATACATTTAATAGATCATTTTATTTATCATTGTATTAAATATCTGTCCTAGTTTAGTTCTTTTCCATTTCCAGGAAATTCGATTTTACCAATGGGTGTTAAAAATATATAAATATCATATTTAATAATCTTTAAATATTATAAATTTTTATATGAGTAAAATAAATGATACTGATAAAAAAGAAATAACAGAGTATCAAAAAAAATTTTAAACTTGATTGGACATTGCTTCAAGTACTAAAAAACATTTAGAGAAGGAAAAAATTAACAGAGATTTATTGATGAACTTTCAAAGTTAATATTAATCCAGGAAAAAAAAGATTAAATATTTTTTTTCAACACAAATAAGAATAAGTACTTTAAGAATATCATCACCCATTACATGTCAAAATCTATTATTTGAAAAACAAAAAATGGTGTTAGGTTGCTTCTCTGAATAGATTTCGAAATTAAGAACAAACATTAAGTCGAGATATGACTAGGCCTAATAACCTTTAAATTAATGAAATATTTAAATATCATTATTTTTTGTTAAAACGAAATCGTATAAAGGTTTAGGTTTTAGCATAAGTGGCGGTGTAGGCAACGAACACAAAGCAGACGATTGCGGAATTTATATCACGAAAATTATTCCTGGAGGTGTGGCCGATTTGAATGGGCAATTGAGAGTCGAGGATAAATTATTGAAGGTATAATTATTTATTAGTATTATCATATCTCATTGATTTTATAGATAAAATCTAAATAAAATATTTATTGATTTATAATTATGTATGCGTTCAAGAGGTGACAATTTTTTTTAATAATTTACTTTGTGTAAGTGTCGATTGTGATGTGGGGTCCATGGAGAATCGGAATCTCTCAATTTTAAATCAATTATCAAAGGCCATTTTTTAAATTTCAAACATCTGATTGACCTGAAATTTTTATCATTACGTATAGAGTATGAGTAATGATGCATAGCTGTAAACGTTATTGATTTTTTATGTGTTTTATTAAAATATTAGATAGCGTTGTAATTCTATCCTTTGACTTTTTCAATTAGCGTCTGTGGCCTAGTCGGATCAGTACGTTATCACAATCCTATCGTTCTGGGTTCGAATAGTAGGGGTCATTCTAATGTCAACATTGTGAATTTCAGACAATTTTTCCAATAAATTTTGAACGACACTTAATTTATTTTCCATTTTTTATATAAATTTTTCATATAAATTGAAAGCGTAAAGTTTAATGGTTAAAATTGTCTAAAACTTACAGTGCAGTTATTCTACATATGCTGAAATATATTAGCGGTCAAATCAGATTTTCCGAATTTAAAAATTACTCTTAATAAATGATATAAAATTGAAAGATATCCAAATCTCATGGATTTCATATCCCAATACGACTTATATATTATACAGAAACTCGAGTATTATTTCAAAATCCTCAGTCGGGCCTAAGTTTTTAAAAAAAAATACGAACCCAGGCCAGGTTTCTTAAAATTATAAATTACATAACCGGGTCTGGAAGAATTTTCTTAAATTAATTTAAACTGTATCAATTAACCAGTATGCATGATTCCTTTTTGAACTTTAGTTCGCTTCTCGTAATTTCTATTTCCCTTTGCGACCATTTGCGAAATTCAAAATTTAAAAAAAAACATCTAGGCCAGGTCATAAAATGTAAATTTTAAAATCAGGGCCGGGCCTGAAAATGGGAATAATATATACAAGGCCTCTGATCTTATATAAAAATTAAATATATTTTCTTAAAATGATTCTCAAGACAAATGATTATCTGGCCAATAATTTCAGTTTGTAATGCAAATATATAATACATTTAATTTCTTTTTAAAAATTATATCACGAGTCATTTTCATGATCTTCGATTCGTGTAATTTTTATATTAAATTTGATATAATTATGTTAATTCTTCACATGATTATCAAAATACAAAAACGCAATTTTTCCGATTTAAAAAAAATATTATATTCAGGTAAACGATATAGATTTAAGTCACACCAGTCACGAATACGCTGTTTTGGCCTTAAAATCTCTCAAAAATGATATATCAGTGCAGTTACTGGTTTACAGGGAAGAAGAACAAGATAAAGGTAACTTTTCGTTGAATTTTTTGTGTTTTTTTCCTTATCATTGTTTTGCTCATTTTTATTCTTGAGTAATTATAAGGATTACATTCATGTATTTGTCTACACTTAAAAGTCTATAATCTGCTGATTGAAATAGGTTGAATACATAATATCCTCCGCCTGAGACAAAATGACTCATACTTTTTCAAATAAAATTAATAAATTTGCCTATAAATAGGTTTATTGATTTATTCATGAATAATATATACCGAATATAATGAGTGGTATATAAGATATTCTATTAGTTAAGGGATACATTTTAATTACTATAGAAATAATTTCGATTATTAATTATACTTATTTTTTATAAAGGTAACTTGTTACAATTACTATTTCTGCATTATAAGCCTATTTTTTGATCTCTTACTATATGTAAATGTAGAATATCCTCTTTCTCCCCTAGAAGAAAATAGTTTCTTTTAGGTTTACTCTCTTTATCACTTTCCGAGATTGGGGACTTACCCAACACACTATCATAATTAAATATGGACCCAAATATTGGACTAGTAATATTCCTTTATATCTTTGCTAGAATATCAGTCCTCAGTTCTGTCTTTTTTATAGTCTGACCAATCCATTGCTGACATTTGATTGGGCGATTAGATATTATTTTATCTAAGTTGTGTATCTCATCCATATTTTAAATATACAATATGGGCGTTTGACTATTATATAATTTACCCACAACATTTGGCTTAGACCGATATATATTAGAAGTCATGTAAATGGATATTATAAAATCATTTGATGATACAGATCTTATCGTCTGATACTACACCTCTTGAATCTGTTCCCTTTTTAGGCAAATATAGATTTGTTGAGATATCGATTTAAAGTCAATTTAAATTATCAATGGGTCGTTAAGACATTTAATTAATTGCAATGAGCTAAAATATCTCTCTATGTCCTCAAATTTCGTTTAAAACATGTCAGGTATTTTATAGTCATCATTTGATCTGCATCATATTTTGGTCATGACTACAAAATATACAAATATCGGAATATTTAGTTGATAAATTTTTATTAATCGCTCATTATTTCCATAAAGTCACAAATAAAAATACTTCTTCAATCATACGATGCGATCTAAACGAGTACACCGACACAAACCCGAATCTTTTTCCAAGCCCTAAAATTTCTTATTCTTCCTCGCTAAAACATCAACAAAATGACGAAATCGACCATGTCAACACACTATCTCACGATGATCACCATTTTGGTACCCCTATTATTCCCTTAGAAATGATCGCCGTTAAAAAACAGCAAAAATACAGAAGTCCGCTCATAACCGAGCTTAGGCAAAAGCTAAACATCAGGGATGAGGAAAGTGAAATGGCTTCAGGAGAAGAAAAGAATGATCAGGATATCGAAAAAGATGCGATAGATTTAAAAATTAGGCATACTGGCAATGTTTTATGTCTAGAAAGTAATTTTTGTTTTTTTATATAAAAAAAAGATAAAATATAACATAATGTTTTCATTATAAATCTTCGTTTTTTTGAGAGTTTTAATACAATAAATTTATTTATTAGTATAGAATAATTAAATTAAATTTCATTTTAAATAATATAAATATTACTAGCTATATTAATTTATATACATCCAGATGGAATGAACATGGAATCAAATCTCAACAATGTAGGATCTTCACCTAGAGTTTTGCGAAAATTGGAAAATAAGTATGTAAAATGCTTATTAATATGATCGTAATAAACCTATTTGACTGGGAAATATATTTAAAAATTTTTTTTTACCATGCTTTTAATTGCTCGCGCTAAGACGTTATCTTTTATGGTTCGCTTTTACTTTATTCTGTTTATATGATAACGGCATTATGATTTGGAACTTGTTATTTTCTTAAAAATTCTCTGATTATTATAATTATATGTTCCTCCCCATATTCTTCAACAGAAAAGAGTCGTTCACATAGCAATGAATCTCGCATTTTTAGATAAAACGAGAAAACGATCTCCATATAGTTTCAACCATTCTAGTAGGTTTTTATTCGACGTGATTCTCTTTTCTTTCAAATATGTTTCAACTTCAGAATTGGAAGACATTCTGTTTAAAAATTACATCCATATTTGATTGTGTAATAGAAACAATTAGCCTCAAAGGCAATTAAATATATGATGAATTTTAAATATATATATTATTAATTGTGTACGACGATTAATTGTTTGTTTTGTAAAATATATATATACTGCGGTACAAAAGGTAAAAAGTTGTTAAATTTATAATAAAAATTGATTTCATCACAATGGCGCAGTCGTTTCAAATGGAGAAATATAATATAAAGGAGTGCAATATGGAAGTTTATTTATCAAAAATGGAATTCATATTTAAAATCGCAAAAATAGAAGATAAAAAATCATTTTTATTAGCGAATATTGGATTAGAGGTTTATTCTAAATTATTTAATTTGTGTTTGCCAAAGACATTAGAGGAAATATCATATGATGACATAATTAAACTTTTAAAAAATTATTATATGAAGAAGACAAACTTCCTATTAGGGAACAAGAAAAAGATGAAACCATCGTAGAGTATATTAATAAATTAAAGATAAAGGCAAAGACGTGTGAATTTAAAGATATGTATAATACAGTATTGCGGGACAAATTAGTGTCAGGAATTAATAATGGAAAAATATTAATGAAATTAATTAACACGCAGGACTTGACATGGGAAAGTGCAATACAAATCGCGACCGCAATGGAGACTACAGAAATGATGTCGTATTAAAAATTATCTGCAGGGAAGGAGATAAATAAAATCTCAAAAACAGTAACAAGGGAGCAGTATGACAAGTACAAATCAGTACCAAAAATTATTTGCTATTGTTGCGGATTAGGAGATCACATAAAACCTAAGTTTTGAATGCCATCTGCCATAATTGTGGGATAAAAGGACATTTACAAAAAGTATGCAGAAGGAATCGTGGAAAGAAGGAATATATTCGAACGATAGATGTTCCAGAAATGAGCGAGAAAGTTTTGAGGATTGGGAATTTCCAGAGGAGTCTCGAGAAAAATTTGAGGTGAAATTATTGATAGATAAAATTTATAATAAATTTTTAATTGACACAGGATCGGCAGTCTCCATTTTGAATATAGAAGACGTTTACCGTTTAAAAATACCAGTAACAAAAACGGATATTATTTTACAATCTTATAATAATGTAATGATCAATATTAAAGGTAAGTGTATATTACCCGTTAATTATATGAATAAAGTTATATCATGAATTTATTACTGTAAACAATGGGATTAACTTGATAGGTATAAACCTAATAAACAAACAATTAATCGTCGTACACAATTAATAATATATATATTTAAAATTCATCATATATTTAATTGCCTTTGAGGCTAATTGTTTCTATTACATCTATTCTCTCCTTTTTTGGGCTCTCGATTTGAAACGGTATAAATTGTTTTCTTATCCGTTTTGGATAACGGCTGCTTGTACTTTCGTTCTCTACCACCGTTTGCTCATTACTGTCGATTTTCATCTTATCATTTATGATGGTGTCTTTGTTTATTGAGTCTTGTATTGGGTCAATGTCTTTGGTCACCAATTCGTGTATAGGATCAATGTCTTTTGTATGGGCTCATTTTCATTCATTTGTGGTGTAGTTTGCACCACATAAAAGAATAACAGATATGTCATCAAGATTAGTAAGATGGTCATTACTACTAGCAAATTATGATTATGAATTGCAACTTCGAGGGACGAAAAAAAATAGTAATGCGGATATGCTTTCCCGGTTTCCAATTGACGGTAAGCCATCTGCTTGGGAAGAGTTAGATATTAATTTAATAGTATCGGATGCTCCACAATTTATTTCAGCGTTAGATATAAAAGCACACACAAGAAATGACCCGGTATTATCAAAGGTTTCACGTTACCTTACAACTGGATGGCCAAAGATGATAGAGGAAAATCTTAAACCGTTTTTCCAGCGCCGAAATGAACTCACGATGGAGGCAGGGTGTATATTATGGGGCTTAAGAACCATAATTCCAAAAAAATTACAAGTAAATATTTTGTCTTTTTTACATATGGGGCATCAGGGTTATACTAAAACAAAATTATTGGCACAAGAGAACGTTTGGTGGCCGAATATTAACGAAGATATCGAATTACACGGTAAGAATTGTGAATTATGTCAACAAAATAATCCTGGCAATAAAACGATCATAGGGAAATGGCCCTCCGCGAATAAACCAAGGGGAAGAATTCATTTAGATTTTGCCGCACCAATTAACGGAGATATATACCTAGTAATAATAGATAGTTTTAGTGAATGGCCTGAAATACAAAAAATGACAACGAATAATTTTACTGAAGTAAGAAAATTGTTGTTAAGACTTTTTGCTATTTTCGGTTACCCCAATACGATTGTTACGGATAATGGCCCCCCATTTCAAAGTAGAGAATTTAGTTTATTTTGCAAACAATTATCAATTAAAAATGTATATAGTGCCCATCCACCCTAGAACCAACGGAGAAGCGGAGCGATTAGTACAAACTTTTAAAAAATTTTTAAAAAAACATAATGATTATAATAAAATACAAGATTTTTTGTTTAATTATCGAAATACGCCACAAATAACCACAAAACAATCACCAAGTTCAATTATGCTTAAATTTCAACCCATAGGACCTTTACAATTAATAAAACCAGTTTATCCTCATCCATATATACCTTCAGTTACCAGGTTTTTTTAATATAAATGAAAAAAATATATGCAAAGGATTTTAAAAAAGATAATTTGATACCAGGTATCATCGTTAAAAGAACAGGACCAATGACGTTTTTAGTTGAAACTAAATTAGGGGTATGGAGAAGACATATTAATCAGTTAAAACATAGGTTCGACAACTCAGAATTAAAAAATAGAGAGGAGGGAAGAGAAGAAGAAACGATGCAAACTACACCACAAATGAATGAAAATCAGCCCATACAAAACTCAATGACTAAAGACATTGATCCTATACACGAATTGGTGACCAAAGACATTGACCCAATACAAGACTCAATAAACAAAGACACCATCATAAATGATAAGATGAAAATCGACAGTAATGAGCAAACGGTGGTAGAGAACGAAAGTACAAGCAGCCGTTATCCAAAACGGATAAGAAAACAATTTATACCGTTTTAAATCGAGAGCCCAAAAAAGAAGAGGATAGATGTAATAGAAACAATTAGCCTCAAAGGCAATTAAATATATGATGAATTTTAAATATATATATTATTAATTGTTTACGACGATTAATTGTTTGTTTTGTAAAATATATATATACTGCGGTACAAAAGGTAAAAAGTTGTTAAATTTATAATAAAAATTGATTTCATCACAGATTGCATTAATAACACTGTGTGACAAATTTCGACTTGATTTTTTGGGAGAAAATAAAATAAACATGTTTTAAGACAGTTTTTTATGCATATTCTAAATCCGCTGTCAGTTTTTTTCTAGCACGTCAGGTTTTTTATTTATTTTAGGTTAAAGTGGCCAAAAAGGTCATTTTTAGCACTTTTTGAAGGTATATAACTTCGGTTCTAATGATCCCTACAACTAAAAAAATATCTTAATTTTTGCAGCAAACTTTCCTTATTATTATTATACATTTTTTTATATAAGATCCTTACTCAATTTTTAAACAACCTATATTTTTTAAATTTAACTTTATTTTTAAAATCTTTTTTAATATAGCTTACTTTACGCGATTTTTTTCAAGAACGTTGGGACGATACTCCCATTCAGATACTATATAATGTCAAGCTGTTTTTGCTTGAATCGATGAACAAGCGCCATTCATCGGGCACCAATTCAATATTAAGTTGTAAAAAAAGTTGACCTAGATTGTTGGAATAGTATAAAAAATTTTCGTAAGAGAATAAATTTTTAAACGATGCTCCACGGAATCGGTATGAAATTCGAACTCCATTTTTTTTAAATTTCAAAATCATTAAGCCTTGAGGCTAAAAATTCGGACTTTCTTTTTGAAAGTTGTAAATTTCTGGTCTCTTGTGACATAAATAGCGAATCCTCTTCGGGATGATACTCATGATCAATATTGTCATTTTCCTGGCAACGTAATTTTTCCAGCTGCGAAATATTAAAAAGATGAACTGTTTGTTGTATGCATATTATATTTTACCGGATAAACAACCGACGAAATTTCAGGATAAAGAATTTTCTTCGTATTTTTTTTTGTTAAACCCAAATGTACTAATCGAGCAAAAATAACAATCCCACGAATGATTTCTTGCTACGTGCCAAAATGCAGGTTTCGAATAAGGCAAATATGACCGTTTTCCATTTACCCATGGATTAAAAGAATTATAACATGTTTTACATATGTAATTAGGGGCAAATGGTTTATCCAAATCGCAGAGCGGAATATTGTAATAAATTTCATAAATCCTTTGAATGATTGGAGAAGTTGGACATTTTTGTGCGGGCAATATATAGCCCGCACAGATGTAACAAAATTTAGAGACACACTTTAAACAAGGGGACCTCGGCATTAATTTTTTGTAGAATATTATATAAGGAGGGAATTTGAATAATATTTAAAATCCAATTTTAAAAAAAAATTAATAAAAGAAATTAAATGTTTATGAAAAATTAAGCGCGAAAAAATATTCTTTTCCTTTCTTCCTACTCGTTATTTGGCATTATTATTTATTGCCCATACTATGGGTTCAAGGTACTCCATTGGAAAATCATATATTTTGATATAAATTGATTAAAAAAACAAATATTCTTAAATACATCTAAAAAAGATAAATATTAATAAAAAATATTAAAAAATTACCAATTATTGCGTTTTAAATTAATTTTGCTTCAAAAATGCTCAATTCAAAAAGAGTACTAATTAAAAAAGTGGGTACAGATATCTGATTTTGGTAGAAATTGATCATAAATGCATAAAATATTACTAAATACAACTAAAAAAGATAAATATTACCTTAATTTTGCTTTAAAAATGCTTAATGCAGAGAAAATTCAATAAATGTACAAATTAAAAAGTTCGAAAATATCTGTACCGCCTTTTTTGATTTATAGATTTTGGTTGAATTTTCATGGCATAGAGTACTTTTGAAACATAATTAGAATTAATAGATAATCTTGAGCATATTTGAAGCAAAATTATATAAAATTTATTTTCTAAAGTTAATAATTTTGATAGTAATTTAAATTGAAAACTTAAGACCCCCAAAACGAAATTCTTTACCATTTTTCTCAAAAATAAATTAGTAAATTTATAAAGAAATATAAGTTTAACACTATCACCAATTTTCAGGGATTTTTATTCGATACTTTTTAAAATATATCCCTATAAAGACCTAAATTTTATCATTTTTGAGATTTCGAAAAGTTGTCTTTATACGATAATATTTTTAAAACTTGACGTGTAGGGAAAATTTGGAAAACGGATTCGAACTCAACGTCAAATTCTGCACCAAAACTTGTTTTTATTTTCTTCTCGCATTTTTCTTGTCACACAGTGTAATTGACTGATTGATATCATATTTTTATAATCATCAAACATTTTCTTAAAATTATTTAATATAGTTGTAACGTTGATATTATAAGACAGAGGTAGACAGTCAAAAAATTTCAATTTAAGTCTGGGATCTAATATAGCAGATATAATAGTATTTGTTAAATTATAATAAGACATTATTTTTTATTGAGCATTAATTACGTTTGTAAGTGTATTACCAAAAAGACTTGCTCAATTAATGAAATTAAAATGGGATGACCAGATTAAGGGTATGATTACTATTATAAGAGAAACAACTAAGTGAAGTATTTATCTATATTGAAATGCTAATTTTTATTTGTTAATATGAATGGGCTACATTAGAAAGAATACATACAAACTTGAAAACTTTTTATGATTTTACTGTTGCTATATCAAGGGAAACCTATCCTACCCTAAATCTGGTCATCCCATTTTTTATATTTCATTGAACAAGTCTTTTTGATAATACACTTACAAACGTAATTAATGCTCAATAAAAAATAGTGTCTTATTATAATTTAACAAATACTATTATATCTGCTATATTAGATCCCAGACTTAAATTGGAATTTTTTGACTGTCTACCTCTGTCTTATAATATCATCGTTACAACTATATTAAATAATTTTAAGAAAATGTTTGATGATTATAAAAATATGATATATCAATCAGTCAATTATAAATGCAATCAAATATGGATGTAATTTTTAAACAGAATGTCTTGCCAATTTCCGAAGTTGAAGCATATTATAAAGAAGCGAGAATTATGTCGAATAAAAACCCACTAAAATGGTGAAACTACACAGAGATCGTTTTCCAGTCTTATCTAAAATGGCGAGAGACTTATTATCAATACAAGGATCTTCAACCCCATACGACTCTTTTTTGTTGGAGCACATATGGTTACCAAAAATGTCTTTAAAAGAGGATACAATCTGAAAAACTTTGTGTTTAAAAAATTGGTTGTTATTAGATTTGTCTTCTACATTTTTCTACATTAAATATAAATATACTACATATGTATGCTTTTATTTTATCTTACTAAATAAAATTTGTTTGTCATTTATCCTTAGTTAAATTTTTCAAAATAAATTTAATATTCGATCTTTTTAATTTATGGTTAAAAAAAAATTTTCGAATCGAATCGAATAATCATTTTATTATTCGTACAAATACGAATAATTCCATTATTCGTATTTTTGTAGATATAATTAGTACCTTGTATATGAACAAATAATTGTAGGGAAATAAATCATCAAAAAGCTATGCAATCTAAAATAAGGTATGCAAAATTCACATCTAGTAATATTTTACATAGAAAGTGGTAAAAATTTTAGGTAAAATGTCAAATTTATAATTTTTCCATCATCAAATGAAGGAGAAATGTCTGGTTCGCCCGTCATTCTTGACGGGATAGCTACTAGTTTATTATAATTGTTGTATATGTGTTATAAATTGCATATAAAAATAAAACTTTCTTCATCTATCATAAAACAATTTTCGGAAGTTTTTCTATTATGAAGTTATTCGAATAAAAACAGCCTTTAACAACAATTTTAGAGATAATAAAATGTTTCTTCATTTTTCCACTAGGAAATTTTATTAAATAGGAATAATTTCGAATAATTCCTACAAATATTTTCCAATATATATTAATACTACAAATTATTTTAGTCGAATAATCTCGAATAATTCGATAGAATAATGGATAAAAATTATTCGACTATAATATTTTCCTTATTCGAATTCGATTCGAATAATTGTGTTATTCGTATTCGTAAAATACGAATCGAATATCGAATAACAAATAATTCGTTTTAGGTATACGGCCATTTATACTAGAGTTGTTAGTAAATATAATTAAAGAATAAAGTAAACGCGACCTACAAAATTAACGTCTTAAGGAGTTACAATTGAACTTTAGTTATCAATCGATTAAGCATGTCTGATGCTAACATCAATATCTATCAGGTATAGGAAAATTAGGTAAATAAAGCAAACGATGGAATTTTTCTAAATTTTATTTTCACTTATATTGAACAAAAGGTACCATAAATCCGCCATAAGGAGGGTTGTGCTAAACAGATGCCCGAACTACCAAAACCTCGGTTTCGACATTATAGGTGGTCATTCTAGGACATTGGAACAATGTAAAACTCAACCCGTCCACCCCAAGGACGGTATATTCATATCCCACCTGTTGGAAAACGGACCCGCAACCCTTTCCAATAGGATTTATGTCGGCGACCAAATTTTGGCCGTAAGTTTTAAGAAACTTATTATCTTTCTTTAAGAATGCGGAAGAGAAAATTTTGTCAATCAAATTTAGAGATGGTATAGGAATTAGGAAATGTGCATTCTTGTTTCTTAAAAATTTTGTAATAAACTGATTTATATCTCTTGCAAGTATACCTTCTTAGAGCAGAGTTCCCCATGGTTCTGAATTTTTGTTGCGAAGATGCGAGTTAGTTACTCATTATAATCAAATAGCTTGCTCAAGCTCAATCCCCAAGTAGAAAATGAAATACAGGGGTCAAAGTTTTAGGTCTGACCTGGATTTGAAAAATAATAATTTCAAGCCCTGCGCGGATTTTTATTTTTGATCTAGTTACGGCCCAGCCAATGAATTTTTAAAATTTCGTTATTTTGAATAATGCTGGCTGTATTATGCAAATTTTTTTTATGGTGAAATAAAAATTTTGAAAGTTATTGATGAATATTTTAGACTGATTACAATAAAATAATGGCGCACGGCTTGAAAATGCCTCCATGTCAACTCCAACAGAATTTTGGGAAGGGGACGGATCGATGGCGGTCGTTATTATGGGGGTATTTGTAACAAGGTGACCAATTTTCGTTAAGGATTTAGTCACATCAATAACAGAACCTAAAATTTAAAAAAAAGCATAATTTTTATTTTAACTAGAGGTCTGCAAATGGCAAAATTTTTAGTCCGTCCCAGTTGTGATTTGGATTTTCTCTCGGCCCTACCAAATTTGTACCCTGCTTAGTTTTATTTTTTTATAACTAAACCCTGTCCGGTTTTTAAAATTCAGAAATATATCCTATGGAAAAATAATGAATTATGATGAGGATTTATGTTTCATTATTTTCCTATTAAGGTAAAATAAACTCAAATTGTAGGAAAATAATATATAAATAAATGAATGCTCATGGTAGCAGGTTATAATTTAATCATTAAAATTATAAGCAAAATAAAATAGATTAAAATTAGGCTGTGGAATAATATTTTTGTTCCCTACGGGCATGATATCTAATTTTAACTAACTGATGAAAGCATCGAACAATAACAAAAGTAAATTATCGTTAAATGAAAATAATTGTAAAGAGGATACCTAGAGGTTTCTACTTACGATATATTAAAAAGATAATAATAATTATATAATGACTAAGGGAAACCTATCTCTGACTCGAGGTATATGATGGGTCCTAGTGGCGGGGATGACTTAAATTATATTTTACTAAAAACAAGGAGTTTATTATTTTTTAATTATAAACATTTTACAAGAATATTAATTATAACATTTTAAATTTATTGTTTACACCAAATTTTATTGAATGAATTGTATTAGAAAAAGTTGTCTTTACATAACCAAAAAAAATACATTATTGATTTACAGTTATATATATATATAACATAATGGTGTAGTTAATATAATTTAACATAATGGTGTAGTTAATATAATTTTATTTTATATAATTATATTAAAGATGACTTTGATGTTTTTATATAACAAAAAAGTTAAAAGAGATGCGATAAAAATTTTAAGAGTTCATGCATAAAATAATGCCGAAATGTTCATTAAAAAATGGTTCTTAAATAAATGATTAGAAGATTAATTACCAACAAAAACAAAATTTGGTGTTTTTAACAAAATATTTGAGTTTAAGGTCGGGCAGCGAGGGCCAGTCCTAGGTTTAAAAAATTCCGTCACGGGCTGGTTAAAGCCGAAAACATTTATTTTGAGCTCTACCCCACATAATATATATTCGGAATAACAACCTTTATTTAGTCACGAGATTCTGAGTAGCATTCCATATTTTTCATCATTTTAGAAAATTCATCTTTAGTAGTAGGGTGGTATTTTCTTAATTATTTTACCATGATATTCCATAAAGTTTTAATTATGTATAAATCAGGGCCCGATGCTGCTCCTGAATGTTGTTAAATGTAAATAGGCGAGTTCTTCCGAGTCCTGGTCGCAATAACTCAAACAAATCGAGTTTTTGAGTCAATTAGTCAATTCATTTTTTTGAGCCATGAACGCGAGTCTAGAAAATAAAAATCGACACATAAAAAAAGAAAGGTTATATCGGCGTAATTTTATTCCTTAAATCTAAATATTACATAAAAATTTATAGTATAAAATAAAATATGCGTTCATCTTGAATTAGTGTTGAAATTATAGTTAAATAATTATTAAAGAGTTTAAGACTTTAGCTAGTAAGAAAAGTGTGGTCTTTTAAATTGGTGCCGTGACCAGGATCTGAATTTGGTTCGGTTTTTAAAGATAAAATAAAATTTTTAATAAGGTAATTTTAAGGTAAAGTAAATTTTGGTAATATGAAATGGTCCTGTATTTTGATCAGTATAATGAGCCTCATCTTTTTGATAAAATATTCGTATATAAGGATCTTAATTATAAAATTTTGCGTAAAAACCTTCGTGAATTGGATATAGGCAATCATTTAATTACAATAGGATTATTGTTAGTTATCTATGTAATATATATTACATTAAAATTTTTAATAAAGAAATATACCGTTATTGTGACAAAGATATATAGTAATTTAAAGAAGGACACTGTGGTGTCGGATAATCAGTGCAATATTCAGAAAGTGTGGAGAGGTCAGTGCTGATGTTCCAAGAATCAAAATAAGTATATATATATAGTGATATATATGAATTGATTAATATGAAGAATAATTGTGATAAAAGCCAAATATGTGGCAAAAATGGTCCAAATGTAAATTTGATTTTTCGGTATTTTACTACTATATGATTACACTTGCAATCATATAGTCAGTGTAATTCACAATTTATGGCTACATGTCCCGGTTTTTTGCACTTAAAACACAAACGAGACCTGTCAGAATTATTTGTGGTAGTACCAGAAATTTTCCTTACATTAGAATTCTTTATTAATTTCTTTAACGGTAAACCCTCACAAAAATTTTGTTCTCTAACCATACAGGTTTCAACCTTGTGTCCTCTAGAGCCACAACGGTTGCACATAATATTGTTTCCAATATTCTTTTTAACATCAAAATTTCCATTAGATTTATATTTTTTCATTTGGACCATTTTTGCCACATATTTGGCTTTTATCACAATTATTCTTCATATTACAAATATATATCACTCTAAAAAATTCCTGGAATTTAGCCTCATATCAAATATTGCCCCTTAGTCTTACAGACTTTAACCCACTCGTTCTCTGATCAAAATACCATATTAACCTGTTTCTCCTCTCAATAATATTTTATCTCTCAATTTTTTTTGTAATTTTGTGCTGATTTTTTTAACACATTTGCTCACTGCTCAACCACCTAATTATTATCATCTCTGTTATTTGCAGCTTTGATCAATAACGCTCTTAAATATCTAAGCCCTTCTATTCTAAGCCAGATAGACCCCTGTGTGCGCTAAAAGAAATACCATTGTACGAAACCTCTTCTATAGCATACCATTGCCACCACTGCTAGGCAGCAATTTCTCTATAGAAGTTTCTCTCTTTTTTCTAGCGCAACCTAATTTTTCATATCCAAAGCATCTTATCTTGCTCCTATGATATTAATTATAAAGTTTTGCACAATGATATCCCAGTAGTCTTAGAATCTGATTTATAAACAAATAATCTTACAAAAATTACGCATGAACGTTGTTGCCGATCTATTAATATTCTCTTTATTGTATTTATTTTATCCTACAGGTCAATGAGGTGGATCTGACTCAATGTGGTCACGAGGAAGCCTCTAGAATACTCAAAAATGCTGGGGCCATCGTCACACTCTACCTGATGGAAAACCTTCAAGGTAATTTTAATGATTTTTATTTTATTTTTGATAAAAATACATTATTAATAAATGATAATTAGAGATTTATTTTACTTAATTAGTTGAACCTTTTTTTTGAATACTTGTTTTCGAAAATTAATTTATTTAAATTTTTTACATTGTAATAGCCAAAAAACCGAAATATTTTACAAATATATATAAAAATTCTTTAGATTATACATATTTTATATAAATGGTCATGTAACTAAAAAGATATTATAGTAGAAACCGCTTAAGGGCAAAATATCTCGTTAAAGGATTTTTTAAAAAATCTAAACATGATATAAAATTTAAAAAAATTAACTTTATGGTTTTTTTAAAAAATATTTATTATTAAATATATTGTCCATTATTCTTACATTTAAGTTTGATATATATACCAGTGGTTATCCCTTTCCAAGGCATTTATTTATTAAAATACTATAACAACTATTAACAGAAGTGGTTTTAGAGATTACCACAGCGGGCCAAAATATTGTCAGTCCGGTCGGATAACTTGTACAAAATATATTTTACGGACCGGGTTGAAAAATTTGTTAAAAATTTTTCACAAAACCGATCTGCGCTGACCTCTAAAAGGTATAGTTCAAAGCGAATTTTGTTTATATTTTAAAATACAATGTTGATTAAATGTGGCGCTAAACATCAGCTGAATAAATTAAATGTCAAAAGAAGCTTGTGCATTAAAGTAACAAATAAAGCAGTGCCATAGCTAGGGGGCGGAATAAGCACACTTTCTATTTAATGCTAAAAATTTCGAATCATAATTAATCGATATAACGTTGTTTATGCGGTGGATATAAGAAAAGACCTAAAACATTCTTTTTGTCAAAAATGGTGAATATTATTTTATATTAACAAATAGTGGTGACGGGACCGATGACACTAAATAATATAACATTATTACTGACACTATGTCAATATGAAATAAAATGGGACTAAATGAATGTCATTTTGATTAATTATAGAGTAAAGACCTCCAGGTCCAGACCAAAACCGGCCCCGATATACGAGTCGGGCCGGGCCTTATAATATCAATCAATCAGTTGGAAAATTATATAACGGAGCGTTAATAGTTATTTACTGCTCATATTTTTAATTTTCCCTTTAAAAGAACCTAGAAAATACAGTTATTATTCAAAATTTTATAACATCTGCCGTTAAAAGTATACATACATAAGAATTTGTTTTCGACACCATTTTGTGGTCTGCGCGTTAATTAAGGCTACGTACGGCCATACCAGGGCATCTGAGCGCATAAACTTAATAGAGAGCAAACCAAATAATTGAGTGTTTGCAAATTATCATTTCCAAAAATTTGGCTATTTCGAACGTTTGCAATTAAGATTTTATCATCTACTTAGTACTAGTTGTAGTATAGTTGGGTAATTAATATATTTTTAGTCGTTTAAACCAATTTTTAGCCGGCTAAACCGAGTTGTTAGCCGAAAACTATCACTTTTAGTCTGGGTTTTTCTTAAAAATATAGTACGAATTAAATATCATTAAAGGTAACCGATTTTCTCAAGCATGCAGCTATAGATTGAGCCGAATTAACCAACATTTAGCCATTACCTAAATATACTTTGTATATATTAATTTTGATGAATTCTCACATGGAAATTGAGTATCTGAGAAAATTTTAAAAATATATTTAATATTAAATTTATTTTTATAAAATTAAACAATTAGGAAGGGTATATTTTTAGTGGCTTCCACTTTATTAATCTTATCTGTATTACAAAGTTTTGTGGGCTTTGGAAGGGCCTCCCATAATTTACGTGCATTTTCCTTAGGATGGGTTGTGAACCAACATGCTAAATGAATGAAATCTCCCATTTTAAAATAAAACTACTCTATAATAATTACCAAACTCTCGATTTCTTAAATGCAAGCATGTAAGCTTTGGTATGGCCTCATAAATAACTATATTTACGTTTTTGTTTAAAAAAAAAATTATATTCTATTTTTTTTAGTAAGTATATTATTTTTAGAATTTAAACATATTTTAAAACAATTAGTTTATTATATGATAAATGTCATTTAGTCAACGCGCACACTATAGAAAATAGCGCCTAGAGCCGATTACGTATATTCATACTTTTAATGAAATGAATCTTCGATATTAATTCAATTAGTTCTATTTAATATAATGCATTGATTGTCAACCTATTGCCAAAATATTTCATATCTTTGGATGGAACGGATAAAAAAAAATTATATGGAAAATATAAAAATTCTTTAAAGGACTATATTAGAAAAATGGGCCAAAAGACAGAACATGTAACAGTAAATCTTTTAAAATTTTTTTATAATAATTCCAGATTTGCCATATTAAATCCAGCTAAAAAATGACAGTTCATGCTAATTAACATTGTCGCTTATTCAGCCTTTGCATTGTTTAGGGTTCGTTACCTAAAACAATTTTTTTGAATATTCAAAAAAAATATTATTTTTGATCTAGTTCCCATACATATGGATATAATAATAATAATACGTTTCCTTTATGACACATTACCAGAGAAAATCATCAACCTATAAATTCTAAATTGATAAAATTTGCTGTATTATAAAATGCCATAAAATCAATGATTTTTAAATATACGGAATGAGAAAAAATGAACAGAACCTCCAATATTTATTTGATTCTCTGTAATAAATTTTTTCGATAAAAATATACTCCAGAGTTTAGAAAATAGCTACAATATTATTTAATGATAACTATTTCCTCTCTTTCCTTTTTTTAAATTTATATGAATTGTTGCGCCAAACAAACTGTTCGAAAACAAAATTATATTTAAATCGTTTCATTTCAAGCCATAAATTGAAGGTTATAGTAGTTAAGTTGTTTTATTAAAAGAGATTTAAAAATAAATTTTGACCATGAAAATAAAATATTTAAAATGTTTTATTCTTATCAAAATCGATTTAAATAAATATGCTTTTATGGTTAAGAAAATAGTAATTTTTTTTATAAAGAAAATATCTAGCATAACAGCGTTCGGAGAAATAACTATTAAGAAAGTTGTAATCAATTTATAAACCACCAAAACTGATATAAAATTGTAACATTCTAACACTTCTTCATGTAGTTTGACCAGTCGAACAGCCGTTAAAGTTATTTAGATTTAATATGCTTCAAATAAAATTTCTTGTCGTTGGCCTGCTCAATTTATTTTTGAGCAACCGGGTCCGGGCCTAAAATTTTGAACACGGCAGCTCTAATATTTTTTTTGATTAATTTATATATTTTTTTAAACTAAAGCCAACAATGTATGCGCGTCGTATTTAGATATGCAATCCATGAGGATTTTAAATCTATAAATTTTTTATCATTTTTTGAGATCGATTTTTAAATTTGGAAAGTTTGATTTTGTCGGAAATGACGGCGTGAATTTCAAACAATGTTGCCCTGAGCTTTAATATTTAAAAAAAATATACAGATGTTTCTGACGAAAACTTTCTAAAATCCATAGGGTAAGGTACTCCACACAAATCGCAAAATTATAAGTCGAAAGTAAATCCCCACGGATTCCAAAACACGACATGCATAAGTAGTATAACAATAAATACTAAGTATAATATATTAATTTTATAAAAAAATCCTTTAGTCAATTTTAGTATTGTAGTTATTCTTAAATATTGATATGACAAAATTTTTTTATCAAAAAAAACTTCGTGATATATTAATAACAATAAAATCAAAAATTATGACAAATGCGTAAAAAAAATATATTTTATTTATTTTATTTTTGTTAAAAAAAATATGGAAAATTTGAAAAATATTCGTTCTCAAATTTATTTTTGGATTTGGATTTTCTAGACATTTTATAATCGGGTAAATAAATAAAATAACTAAGTATAAATTTTTGGCTGTCCTTTTTTTGATGCATTTTTCATGAATAATTTCCTCCTGTCGATCTTGAATAAAGACCATTTATTTAAATTGTAAAAACGTAAAATAAAAATAAGTAAATTGAGAAAAGGTTGGAAAAGAAATAAGCTTAGTTGGGATAATTATTTGAATTTGAAAGTGCTAAGCCAACCTTTTCATTATTTATGCTCAAAAGTTGCATGCTGGTGCTGAGTGAGTACCATATGAGCCCCATGTTTAGTAGTTTTCAAAATCATATTTATTCCCATAAAATCATATTTATTTATTTTTTATAGAAGTAATATTTTTTGTCAATTTATTGGGAATAGGATAAATTTTAAGTGGATTCAGTTGTTCATTCCATCTAATATTTCAATCACCGTTTTTTATCGATTTTAATTCCTTTCCGCTATTTTTTTATTTTTAAATAAAATAAATTTCATTTGAATTTATTTATTAATTTTGATTTCATTAGCGAGTCGTTGTTAATTGATAACTAATTTGTGCATCGTTGCTTTTTATGTATATCACAATTCTTGATTTAAGAGTTTTTTCTAAAGGATCATAGTGTAAACTATTTTCTTTCCCCAGTATATATAAGAATTCAATTTTAACTCGCTTTGCTGGACTAAATGTAACTATAATATTATTTTAATTAAGCAAAGATAATATTTATAAAAAAATACTCTCGATCTTGAAGATGACTATTCACAAATCAGGCTTTAAAATTAAGAGATTTCCGCGGGCTTTTAAAAATTACGTCAAAACCTAAGCTAGAAATTAATGAAACAACAAGAGGATTTAATTTTTTGTATACCCTCAAATACGAATGATTCGTATTTTTGAATGGAATAATTCCTTATTTCTACAAATAGTAAATGTTCGATACTAAAATTAAATTTTTTAAAAACATTTTCAAAAATGAAATAAAGGTGGATTATTAAAATTTAAAAAAGTGATTTATATATCTAGAAAAAAGTAAAAAATTATAATGTTTCGAAAATAACATGCTTTGCAGGTCTGAAAAGGTCCTCCATTTTTGTTATCAGGGCTGTGAACCTTCCTTCTAAAAAAATCCTGAACCCAGTTTGGGATCAGGGTTAAT